AGGCACGTTGTGAGGCAGGTGGGGCTGAGAGAGTCCTGAGAGAACTGACTGGCCCAAGGGCACCCAACAGGGTTCACGTGGAGGAGGAGTGGGGAATCAAACCCAGTTCTCCTGATTCGAATTGTGAGGCAGGTGGGGCTGAGAGAGTCCTGAGAGAACTGACTGGCCCAAGGGCACCCAACAGGGTTCACGTGGAGGAGGAGTGGGGAATCAAACCCAGTTCTCCTGATTCGAGGTCACTGCTCTTAACCCACTACACCACACTGGCTCACCCACTACACCACAAGCAGAAGCTTGAACATTAAACTTCATCTTTCTTTTAAGTAAACAGGATATATTCGCTGTGGATTATCATTTTCTGGGAGTATGCAAAACAAATGGTATACAGTTTCTGCTGTTCGCTGCTCCGGATGTTTTTCAGTTTCGGCATTTGCCTTGAAATCAGCACATTGAACACAAACCAGTAAATCACCAAGTTTATACCTCACGAAGTATTGGCATTATTTTGGTACTCTCCTGTATCCCTTTGTTCTTATGGCCACTGTCTGCTTCCCTGTGCATTGTCCTCCTGTCTTTGGCCCCCTTGCTTTCATTTGTTCGTACAGCCATTTCATCTGGTTCGCCAACAACAGGGAGCCCTTGTGGTTTTGTTTACGTGCACCTCTGGCATTGTCATGTCAGACGTAGCATCATGACATCGTTGGTAGAAATCACATGGGCCCGGCCTCCTGAACTAATCAGATCAAATAGCAGTGTTAGCCAATGAGGTTTTAAATAGTGAGGCCAAAGAGGAAGAAGGAAAATGTTACCGCGGAGAACAGCGGTGAAACAACGCAGATATGCTTGTATCAAAATGTCTGAAAGCAGCGGCCTCTATTAACATGGCTGAGAATGAAATTAGGTAGGTACTTTTGACTCAGTCATAATATGTGGCCCCAAAAGATAATACATCTACTTTAGAACATCCTCAATTATATTTATTATTAATTTCTGATTCCATCGCTGGAGGAGGAATTTAACGGCTCTGAGAGCTTTTTCCCAATTTGCAAGGAACAAAAGCCAGTCGGACAGTTCTTTCCCACTGTGTTGTCGGGTTGTGTTTGAGGTCTCAGGTCGAATTTTGCAGACGTTCGGCAGAAATGCCATTTAACGTTCCAGTTACCCCACTTACCCATAAAGCCCCTGCCCTTGAATTGCAACCTGATTCATGCCTCTCCTCTCTTTCTTTTGACAGATTATGCCCATGAGTGCTGGGGACTGGTTCCGAGATATGCGGAACGTCAAGGTCATGGGAGTGGTGCCTCTGGAGAACTGGCTTGTGGTGTTCAGCAACAGGAACTCAGAGCTAGCCCATAATCTCATGCAGTGTTTGAGAAGAGTGGGAGGCCCCATGGGCTTTCACATCGAACATCCCAAAATGTGAGAGACCACAAAACCGTTGCTCTTTTTTTTAACCTTGTGGCACTTCACACATTGAATGTTTTCTGGGTGCGTGCCCGAGGGGGTTTTAGTGGGGTACCTGGAAGAAAACCCTGTGCATGTAACAGACACATCTAGCACGCAGGAACATGCATTGAGGCCAGGATCACTCCCTTCCTAGTGTATGTCCAGTGGCATATCTGAGTTTATATCAGTTTAGGTATATATATAGAGAGAGTGGGCGATTCTGCATCTAGCATTCGCTCAACGTTTTCTCAACTGGGAGGGAAAGGTGCAGCTCAAAAACACATTCAGATACCTCGGGGCAATGCCGTACTGACTGCAAAGGCACCCCTGAACAACCATAAATCTATGCAGAAGATACCATAAAACCTGATGATCAAAGAAAGTGAAAGCGGCATGCAGTATAGAGGGTACCATAAAATCCGATGAGCAAAGAAAGTGAAAGCAGCATGCAATGCAGAGGGGAATTTCTATTCCAAGATGGGTTTCATAAAACAACGGAGGGAAAAGCCAATGCAGAATGGCCCAGTCTGAGGAAAGTATCAGTGAGGGGTTGATGCTGAACAAGGGGTGACTTGGATTCAGTTTCTTGATCACATTGGAAAACTCAGCAATTGGCAGAAGTACCTTTCATCCTTCCTTCATGTTTATGGTGAAGTCCCATGGCAAGTCGATATGATCAGTGTTGATTGTCAACATCTCTAGCTTTGTCTTCTGCTCTGGAGTCACACTGGATGGCTGTAGAAAGATGAATTTGTGGACTGTCATTAGCCTACTAGGCACGATTGCTGAAGGGAACCTCCACATCCAGAGGCAATAAGCCTCCCAATACCAGTGCTAGGTGGCAACACTGGGAAAGGTTTTGGCCGCTGTACTTTTTTGTTGACCCTCCGGAGTAACTGGTTGGCTACTGTGGGACAGGATGCTGGACCAGATGCACCACTTGCCTGATCCAGTGGGGCACCTCTTATGTTCTTACGTCGTTTTACATGAACATTTGTGGGTTTACAGAGAGTGAGTTTGTAGGTCAAAGTGGATCGCCCAAGCTAGCCTGATCCCAACAGATCTCGGAAGCTAAGCAGGGTCCGCCCCAGTTAGTACTTGGCTGGGAGACCACCAGAGACATCCAAGGTCGCTACACAGAGGCAGGCAATGGCATGCTACCTCTGATCGTCTCTTGCCTTGAGCACCCTGCCATCAGTCAGCTGTGACTCAACCTCACTTTCCGCCACCACCAGGTCAAAATTTGCAAGGACAGTAAAGGCAGATAAAGCAGCAAAATAAGAAATCCTAACGTATATTGACTACACTGTACCTAGCCTCCTCTATGCATTTAGCCTCAAACTGACTCACCCCTTTTGGATGAGGGATCCGTCCTTCTGCAGCAGTCTCACCAGCCCTGCTCCCTGGGAGTGAACCCCCTCCCACTTTGGGGCAAAGCCTTTTATTCCCTTCCCAGGCACCACCCTTTACTCCTCTGCTGGTGTAGGTGTTGCCTCCTCATCCCCTGTTAGCCAATCACAGGGTCCAGGCGGAACCTGGGAAATGTAAGCCCTGATAGCTACTCCAATGCAGGCTTCCCTGGAACCACTAGGCCTCCCTGGAGCCTTTAGGCTGCACCACTATTGGCCTAGGATTATGACAGCGGGCTTTGGCCTTCCCTTCCATGTAGTCCTTCATCCCCCTTGGAATGTTTGGAGCCATGCAGAGCAACGGAACTCTTTCAGTGTTGGGTTGGGACTCTTAAGTCTGTCCACCTCTTGTCACACACGTGTTTTGGCCCTGAGGAATGGAGAACTAGTGATACACAATGACTAAGAGACATCTCCAATTCAGGAAGTGCCTGGTTTGATTCTCAGCTGCAGTGTGAATTCGGCAGGAGGCTTTAGGCAAGCGACGGTCTCTCTCAGCTTCCGTCCTCCCTTTCTGCAATGCAGGGATAGTGAATTGACCCACCTTCCCGGGCCGTTGAAAGATTAAAATGGTAACATGCAGAAAATGCTTGGGAAGGCTTGAAAGCCCCACACAAATGCCAAGTGGAATTATGCTGGCTTTCTACTTGTTTAAATTTAAAACGGAGTATCCATATTCGTCTCATCAGATTCCAGCTCCCTGACTGCCAGGGCAGACATATTCTCTGGATGAGGTCCAGCCAACTGTGAGTGAACAGACTTTGCGTGGTTGGCTATAGAATGCCAAAGATCGCTGCTCACACAAAGCCTGCATTGATCTTTGCGGTTCGAAAACTTAGTATGTGCTTTTATCCCTCATTGAGCAGCGGCAGCAGTCTTAGAATTGGTCAGAATCATGGTAGGGTAGTTTAGCCACCTGACATTATTTGGCAATAGTGCCCCAGCCCCATGAGCTGAGAGGGGCCAGCCTGCAGTCATGCTTCCGAAAGATCCCTAGTTAGGGTTTTGTTTGTTTGTTTTTGCTCTTGGCTGATTGGACTTTTGCCAGGACTAGGAAAGTTGACACTGAGCAGCGCTGGTTCATCTGTGACCGCCGGCTGTTGAGGGAAAATTCATAACAGGCCGTCTAGAAGCAGGTTTTAGATTGAGTTTCGTGCATTCGGGTTGGATCCTGAGGAAGAGCTGGCGGGCCTGATCTTTTCCCACCTTCTCCTTCCCCACTCAGCCTGCCATTTTGTCCCGAAACTCCTCTCTGAGGGTCGGGAGAGTTTAGGGTTGCCAGGTGCAATCGTCACGTCACTTCCCCTCTCCTCCTTTTTGTCCTGACAACAACCCTGTGAGGTTGCTTAGACTGAGCGCATGTCACTGTTCCAAGGTCCCCCAGTGAATTTCCACGGCAGAGTGATGAGGATTCAAATCTGGGTCTCCCAGACTTTAGTCTGAAACTAACCACTACACCACACCGGTTTGCCTCCACGAATGCTGGTTTCTTCTCCTTCTCTCTGGGAGGGCATCACCAGGGAACGAGCCAGGATTGCAGCGTAATTTTGTATCTCAAGAAACATGTTCGTTAATGCTGGGCAGTTTTCCTACCCTTTGCCCCCCAAATCTTAATGAGAGCCAGTGTGGTGTACTGGTTAATAGCGACAGACTCTAATCTGGAGACCCAAGTTCAATTCTGCACTCATCCATGTGAAGTCAGCGGGGTGCAGGGGTCATTTCGCAGAAAAAGAGGTGCAGGAGCTCATTAGCATAACTCATTAGCATAACTTATTTGAATATGCCACACCCCCTGAGATCACCGGAAGTGTATCAGAAGGCAACACCCACAGCTCAGGCTCCACTGGACTGTTTTGGATTGCTAGCTGTTGGGGGGGGGGAGCGTGCATTTCTGTCCTCGCAGAGGAGAGAGAGCTTGTACCTGAATAAAATTTGGTCTTAAAGGTGCCACTGGACTGTTTTGGACCAGGGGGGCTGGGGGGACCTCTGCAATTTACCTGTCTGCTTCTAGCTCTGACTGAGGGCTGCTGGGAGCAGGGGGTAGGGCTTGTTGCATGTGCCCGCCCCCTGGGCTCTTTACTGCCAGAGTTCCATTCCTGTGCGCTCCTGCAGGAAATGACCCCTGGCTGGGTGACCTTGGGTCAGTCACAGCTCTTTCAGAGCTCTCGCAGCCCAAAAAATAAGTCTAGCTCACCACCTAGTGTTGCATAACACTAAAAGAGCTAGAACTTTACATTGCCAAACAATCTTAGGATCTCCTGGCCATACTACACATAATGCCATTCAATAATTATTATTAATTATTATCTCAGTCTTAAGAGTGTCAACACCATAACATGGTTCTGTATATGAATCACTAATGGACCATCGTATGTGTCCAGAATACTTACATTCGATGTCGTCCTTGTAGACTTCCTGCGACAAATGGCGTGCTGCTTTCCCAAAGATGTGCCACCAGCTGCAGCTTGTGTCGTCAATGTGTCTAATGCTCTCTAATGCGCTACAGTTTTATTTATTCATTCATTTTGTCCTTAGCTTGCAAGTACAAGAAAGCCCTGTGGCATTTGTACGAGCCCTGCGACAGCATGTGAATCCGGAACTGCAGCTGGTACGTACACAGATTTCGTAAGCATCGTCCTTCAGATGTGCTTCGTTGTGAGGCATGTTCCCCACCAGTGTTCAAGGTTGCTGGGAGGTAGGCGTGAAGCCCAGTCTTTCAGTTGGATGCCGATTCGTACGAAGAATCTCTGAGTGGAACTGCTTCCTGGATTTCCACTTTATCTTCTGTTGCCTGGGAAGCCTGGTAATGGAACAGCCTTTGTACGTGTGTGTTCTGTATCACAGCGCATTATGCCAGTTCGTCCAAGGGTTGTATATATACTTGAATAAATGGAATAGTCTTGATATAGAGAACCCTTTCTCAAGCCCGAGACTTCAATAGAACCTGGAAATTAAAGGAATATGAATCATTAGCGTGATGCATTCCGTCTCTGTTTGGCCTGGGGAATTGGGCAAGAAGAAACAGAAATGGAACTACTGCAATCTGTGCAATCAAACCTTAATATAATATCTGAATGGATACAAAATTACAAATCACATATTTACTAATAACATTACTTTCTACAGATGAATAAGTAAGATGGACGAAATTCCCCGGAGTTGATGTTCCGTTTCGTGACGACGTCTTCACACATCAAACCTCACACAGTCGTGCCTTCATATGGTCACAAAAACTTTCCAAATTGATATTTTCTTAACTCCTATACGTTTCTGGTGTTCATTCACGTAGTTCATGCACATAGTGTTATCAAACCATAGTGTCAATTGCAGGCTGATCAGTTACTATGGTTTGATAACACTACATGAATGAACACCAGAAACGTATAGGAGTTAAGAAGGCACGACTATGTGAGGTTTGATGTGTGAAGAAGTCGTCATGAAACGGAACATCATCTCCGGGGAATTTCGTCCATCTTACTTATTCATCTGTAGAAAGTAATGTTATTAGTAAATATGTGATTTGTAATTTTGTATCCATTCAGATATTATATTAAGCTTTGATTGCACAGATTGCAGTAGTTCTATTTCTGTTTCTTCTTGTTATTCTATACTGCAAACCCCCTCCTTACTTAGTACTGGGGAATTGGGCAGTCATACAGAGCCCTGAAACTTCACCTCTGAGAGAAAGATGACAGGTGTGAGACCCCTGACCTGAGTCATGTCACACATAAGATCAGGAAGCAGCGGCTGGAGAAACACTTGTCAGGGATGCTCTAGACTGATCCTGCACTGAGAAGGGGGTTGGACTAGATGGCCTGTATGGCCCCTTCCGACTCTGTGCTTCTATGAAACTCACGTTCCCAAGCACTATAGGAGTGGGTTTGGCTCATGAGCCTGGCACAGGGAGAGGAGGGGCTTCAGCCTTCCCTCCTGTGCCATTTTCCTGAGCAGAAACAGCTGGGGGAGAAGGGCTGTTTGCCCTGCTCTGGTGCTGCACAGGTACTGAGTGCCACACATGAAGTCCCACAGTGGGCTAAACAGGGTTTCCCCCCTGCTGCCCCAAGCCTGTTTTGGCTCTGGAAAGAGATGTGGGAAGGAAGGCTTGAAGCCCTTCCAGGAATTTCCCGAGCCAATTGGCAACCCTATTAAATCAGCCTTGGACTACCTTGCAAGGAATTGGGGGGGTGGGGTAGTCAGGCAGGCCGGTGGTAGAGATGGAGCACCTGATGGCCTCCCTCAGAGTCACAGACTGAAGGCCTGCTAGTCTGTGGATCCTTCAGGGGTGCTCAACTGGTCCACCAGTATTATCTGATCTTCAGGGCTGGAGGGTCATGAGTTGCCTGACTGGCCTGTTATGTGCTTTTCCAGCAAGCCCAGAGAACTGGTACCTGACCCACAGGTATCCCTGTTGAGCCACTCAGCACATGGTAATCCCCGTGTCTATAAAAGCTAGAAACGTTTAAAAATTAAAAATCATTTTTCTGATGGCCGTACCCTGCGTGAAATACAACATTTTGCATTGGTGTCCGAAATGTCCAGCTTCCTAATTTTGTAAGGGAGCCTCCCTCATCACTTCTGTGGGTTTGGGGGATCATGTATGATCCATATGCCCTTTAATATGCAATCCTGTGCAGAATTAGTCTGGTATAAACTCACTGATTTCAGTGGATTTAGACTGGAGTAGCTCAGCATAGGATTGTACCGCTGGTGCTGGTAATACATGGGTGGGCGCATGGTCAGTGGCAGTGGGCCCCACCGGACGTCCTGGCAGCTGCCCCACCTCAGGGTATGCTGACGCCAGCCCTGCTCACAGGTATGTCTTGTGGTTGGCCTGTGCAATGAATTAGCTTCCCATTACAACACAGTCCACCAGATGCTGGACAGCCAGTCCTCCCTGGTTTTCTGGTTCTGGGCAGGTAGAGGAAATGGGAAATATATTGACCCCCCCCTCCCCCAGTGAGTCCCTGTGTGTGGCAGGTGAGCTCCAGGAGTTACTCACGTTGGGTGTCATGATCTTGGGCCTATAGTAGTGTGGCCTACAGGCTCTAGGGAGGTTGAGTGGCTCCAGGGAAGCCTGTATTAGAAGAAGAAGAAGAGATTGGATTTATACCCTGCTCTTCACTCAGAGTCTCATAGCGGCTTACAAACTCCTTTTCCTTCCCCTCCCCGCAACAGACACCCTGTGAGGTAGGTGGGGCTGAGAGAGCTCTGACAGAACTATGGCTTGCCCAAGGTCATCCAGCAGCTGCAAGTGGAGGAGTGGGGAATCAAACCCAGTTCTCCCAGATTAGAGTCCACACGCTTAACCACTACATCAGACTGGCTGTTAGAGTGATTACAGGGCCTACATTTCCCAGGTACCTTCTGTACCCTATGACTAGCTAACGGGATTTTGGAGGGAAAACTTACACCAGCGGAGGAGTAGAGGGTGGCGCCTGGGAGGAAGGAATGAAAGGCCTTGTCCCAAAGTGGGAGGGGGTTCACTCCCAGGGAGCAGGGCTGGTGAGGCTGCTGCAGAAGGAGGAGGGACCCCTCATCCAAAAGGGGTGAGTCAGTCTGAGACCAGGTGCCTAGAGAAGGCTAAGTATAGGATAGTCAAGACACATTAGGATTTCTTATTTTGCTGGTTTATCTACCTTTACTGTGCTCATTTTTCCTACATGTTATTGGATTATAGTTGTCGTTAAATCTCTATTAAAAAACTAGTTTGTTACTCTGCCTGGGTCCTCACCAATGCTCCCTCTAAGCTGTGGAGTCCTGTGAGCAAAAATTCTACTTTGTGAGCTGCTGGCATTAAAGTTAAGAGCAAACAATTTGGCCACTGCACAAGTCAGTTTACTGTGGAGCCATCCCTTCCTGAGCTGAGATAAAATGTGTGAGCCGGAGGCTAAAAAAAATGTGAGCTCAGCTTAGAGGGAACATTGGTCCTCACGTCTCATTCAGTCACTTATAAAGGGAAACCTGTTGGAAAAGAGCGTATAAAGGGGTGGGTGCTCTGGGCCCTCTCGAGGAGACCCCCACCAGAGTGGTGGCAGCCTTTAGGGAACCTTTCTAGCCACTGCCCACGACAGTGGGTCACAGCCTGTGCAGCCCTGCAGGGTAAACCCCAGCGACTGGATATCCATTCTCTGCTTGCTGTTTCCTTAGGTACTTTGTGTGCTCCCTTCTGGTCAGAAGGACTGCTACGACTCAATTAAGAAATACCTTACCCTTGAGCACCCCGTTCCTAGCCAGTGTGTTCTCGCGCGTACCCTGAGCAAGCAGGGCATGATGATGAGCGTGGCCACAAAAATCGCAATGCAGATCATCTGTAAACTTGGCGGGGAGCTCTGGGCAGTGGATATACCGGTAAGTAACGTTTATAGCTTTCCCTTTCCCGTCCAAAGCTGTCCCGCTTGCAAAGCATTGTGGGCCGTCACAACTCTGCCCGTTCACATGGCTTTTCTGCTGTGACACCCGTCTTGTGGAAGGGCCTGCCGGTGGAAGTCAGGAAGGCTCCCCCTCCTCCTGGCTTTCCACAAGTGATGCAGAACTGAATTATTCAAGAGGGCTTTTCCACACAGTCAACAGAGTTGCACAGTACTAAATGATTCACAAAGTTACCCAGGAAAATGTGGTTTATATTACTGTGTATAACCTGCTGGAACTAGGATCCTACTGTGGAATTCTGCATCATTTAATGTGTCGTGTTAGTAGTTCTACTTTGCTTCAGTTCTGTTTTTAGACTTCTGGTTGGCTCTACAACCCGAATCCTAGGGCATTGTTTATTGAACGTCCCACCCATCAATTGTATTGACTCGCTTTGTGTAATCCGCCTTCAGTCCAAGTCAGAAAGGCGGACTACAAATAACATAAATTAAGTACTTGAAAAACTAAGGCTGAAATCCTAAGCACCTTGACTAAGCCTTGTAGGTCTAAAAGGCTCCCTGAGCCATTGCTCTTTCTTGGGTGGTTTCTTGATTCATCAACAAAACTTTCATGGCAATTTGGTGGCCTGCCTTGATTTGTAGATAGCAGAGGTATCAAAATTAGAAGGGTTTCTCCATTGCAGATAGCAGAGGTATCAAAATTAGAAGGGTTTCTCCATTGCAGATAGCAGAGGTATCAAAATTAGAAGGGTTTCTCCATTGCAGAAAAGATCCAGGAATTTCTCTAGCGAAATTCTCAGCAGCCTTGCAAAAGTATAATTCCCAGGGCTCTTGGAAGAATCCATGACTGTCAGATGCAAGTTTGTAGAGTAGAGATGTAGCAATTCTGAATTCGGTAAAGCCAACTCTCGTTGATCCACAGAAGCAGAATTCTGTCGTCGGCTTTCCAGTAAGGAGAATTCGAGGTGGTGATGGTGTAGTGGGTATCTGGGGGGGAAAGTAGGGAAAATAATTAAATTTAGAAAGCAGAGCCATTGGGGGATGATAGAATGGGAGGAACCAGTTAGCTGTTCCTTGTGACCGGTGGCACTTTCAGATTCTGTAAACAGCTGGTGCCAGCGTAAAATGGCTTCCAAAGAGAGGGGGCAGCTAGGGGTCATTTAGCAGGAAAAGAGGTGCAGGAGCTCATTAGCGTAACTTATTAGCATAACTTATTTGCATATGCCACACCCCCTGACATCACCGGAAGTGTGTCAGAAGGCAACACCCCCACCGCTCAGGCTCCACTGGACTGTTTTGAATGGCTAGCTATGGGGGAGGGGGACACATGCAAATCTGTCCTCACAGAGGAGGGAAAGCTTGTACCTGAAGGCGGGCCATGGGCGTACTCTGCAACTTACCTGGCTGCTTCTTGCTCCTCATGGCCCAACTGAGGGCTGCTGGGAGCAGGGGGCGGGGCTTGTTGCATGTGCAATGGGCACTGGGAAACACAGCGGTGGGTGCCCATGTGCTCGAAGACTGCCTTATGTCATACATGTGCACCTGTGTACAAAGCGGCCTTTCAGACATTTTGCTGCCTCTTTAAGTGTTGACCTCACATGACCCAGGAGGTGCTTCCCAGAATCCCTTGCTGTTGCGCATGCTGGGTCGAGCATGTGGCCTCAGCTCCAGTCTGTCTGCAGCCTCAGCTCCAGCTTGTCACTTTGCTCCACAGCTGAAGTCCCTCATGGTGGTTGGGATTGACATCAACAAAGATGCCGTCAACAAAGGAAGCTCAGCTGTTGGATTTGTGGCTAGCACGAATGTCAAGATTAGCAGGTAAGAGCCTTCATTTCATAAAGCAGGCATTTGTAGAAGGTAGTTGCATCTTACCCTCTGCTGTAACGTAAAGATGTTATTTTTCGTCTTCCCCGTTTTTTGGCTCCCCGTTCATGTAGAGCGTGATAGCTTGCTGCTGCTGTAGTATTTCTAGTGGGATGAGGAGCAAAGCATTGGCTGGATGTGTATTCAGTTGGGACGCCTTTCGACAAATAAGTGGGGTTTGATCTATAAACTCAGAGGTATATTGAGGTCCCAAGATACGGCATGTGGTGCGGCAGCCTTGCTGAAGCGAAGCGTGTCAGGTTCTGGTCAGCGCTCAAGTGGGTGACCACCTGGGACCCTAAGCATGTTCCCTTGCATTCCAGGGAAGGAAGGCGGGACATAAAAATCCATTTGTGACTAAACAAAACAATTTTTTGGGAAAAGGTCAGCAGCTGGCATCCCCGTGCTTTGCCATGCTTCAGCTGGTGTCCGTTCCTGGTCAGTCAGATCTAGCCACAGTGCTTCATGGCTTAGGAACATTTAGACTGGACTGCTGCAATGTGCTCTACTTGGGGCTGCCCTTGAAGAGTGTTTGGAGGCTGCAGCTAGTACAGAATGCTGCACCTAGACTGCTGGTCAGGGCCAGCTATTGGGAGCAGTGTTCCCTCTAAGCTGAGTTAGTGTGAGCTAGCTCACAGTTTTTTAGCCTCTGGCTCACACATTTTTGTCTTCGCTCAGGAAGGATGGCTCCAGAGCAAACGAATTGATGCGGTAGCCAAATCGCTCACTCACAACTTTAATGCCAGTAGCTCACAAAGTAGAATTTTTGCTCACAAGACTCTACAGCTTAGAGGGAGCATTGATTGGGCGTGAGTGGCCATGATATTACAGCAATTACACTGGCTGCCAATCCAGTCCTGAGCCCAATTCAGGGTGTTGGTTTTGACCTTTAAAGCCCGACATGGCTTGGGACTGGTTAGCTGAAGAACCATCTTCTCCCATATCTTCCTGCCCAGGAATTAAGATCACAGGGAGGGGCCCACTTTCCTTGTGGGTACATGAAACAGGGCCTTTTTAGTGGCAGCCCCGCAATTATGGAACAGCCTCCCCAGGGAGGTTTACCTGGCCCCCTCTCACTTTCGATCTTTTGGAGGCAGTTGAAGACGGTTTTATTCAGGACTACATCTAGTTAAGCTTAGTAGCAGTGTGGAGTCTTGTGGGCAAAAATCCTACTTTGTAAGCTACTGGCATTAAAGTTGTGAGCGAGCGATTTGGCTGCTGTATAATTTAGTTTGCTCTGGAGCCATCCTTCCTGAGCTAAGACAAAAATGTGTGAGCCGGAAGCTAAAATAGTGTGAGCTAGCTCACACTAACTCAGCTTAGAGGGAACACTGGTCCCAATAGCTGGCCCTGACCAGCAGTCTAGGTGTACTAGCTGCAGCCTCCAAACACTCTTCAAGGGTAGCCCCAGCTTAGAGGGAACACTGGTCCTAAGTAGTGATTTTAAATTCTGCTTTTATATTTTCCAATGTATTATTCCATGTTTTAATCTATGTTTGTAAGCTGCCTTGAGCTCTGTAAGGAAGTAAGGCAACTGATAAAAGTTTTAGATAACCTCCCCCATCCCCGAACTCGTGGTGGTTTCTTCAGATGAATGTGAGATGAGAACATATAGAAGTTCAGCAACAGAGACAGGTTTTTTTAGACCATAGTAAAGGTAAAGGTTTCCCTTGCTCGAAAGCCAGTCAAATCCGACTCTAGGGTGCGGTGCTCATCTCCGTTTCCAAGCTGAAGAGCCAGCGCTGTCCGAAGACATTTCCGTGGTCATGTGGCCGGCATGACTAGACGCCAAGGCGCATGGAACACTGTTACCTTCCCACCAAAGCGGTACCTATTTATCTGCTTGCAATTTCTTGCTTTTGAACTGCCAGGTTGGCAGGAGCTGGAACCAGAGACGGGAGCTCACTCCGTCATGTGGCACTCGGATCTCGAACTGCTGAACTACCGACCTTCCGGTCTGCAGTTCAGCATCTTAACCACTGAGCCACCACAGCCCCCTTTTTTAGACCATAGACTGTCTTAAATGAACTCTGGGAAAGGTTGCCATCTCTGGGTTGGGAAATACCTGGAGATTGGGAGGCGGGGGGCAGCCTGAGGGGAAAGCAGGGTTTGGGGAGGGGAGGGGCCTCAGTAGGATATAAAACCCTAGAATCCACCCTCCAAAGCAGCCATTTTCTCCAGGAGAACTGATCTCTGTCATCTTGGAGATGAATTGTAATAGCGGGAGTTCTCCAGGTGCTACCTGCAAGTTTTAAACAAAGAGAGAGTCACGGGATGAGGAAGATTGCTCTGAGTAGCTTTACTGAACCTAGAGACAACAAATGATTTGAGAATTTCAATACAGAATTGAGACTATGCAGGATCTGCCTTTGAGAAAGTGACAAGACGGAGGTCACAGCTGTTCCATTGGTGGAGCCGCAGGGAGCACAGCGCGAAAGTGAAATATGGACCTGACTTAAAAATATGAGCAGGAGTTAAACCATTTAAAGCCTTGGGAAGTCTCTTATCGGGAAGTCTTTCAAGACGCTTGGCACAGGCGCTTTACCTTTTCTGTGCAATTATAAAAAGGATGTTAACACTAATTATGGAATATTTAAAAGCCACCTGGAGGTTGGCAGCCCTAATCCTTGGGCTTGGGTCCTGTAATGCGTCAGCAGAACTGCTGCATAATAGGTGACTTTTCCACTTGGCCCCCCCCCTCACTGCAGTTTTCTGTGACCCCCCAAAAATTGTGCCCCTGTAGGTTGACGGACGTTGGGAGCACCATGGAAATCGGAGCGAGGGGGGCTTTCCTGAGAGGGTGGAAACAGCAAAAGTTATTGTCTCCCCCCCTTCTGCAAGCAGATGTACCTGTGAAAGTGAGGCTAGGATCCAAACCTTAACACTGTGTAGCTAACTTAGTAACTAACTTCCTTTACTTTAATGCCTAGGTGGTTCTCTCGGTGCATGCTGCAGAACTCAGGAGCGAATGTGGCAGATTGTTTAAAGGTCTGCCTAGAAGGTAGTGATGACATATAAGTTAGTACAAGATGCTTTGCCCTTGAGGATATTATTCCGGGTTCTGTCCTATGCTCCCTTTAAGCTGTGGAGTCTTGTGAGCAAAAATTCTACTTTGTGAGCCACTGGCATTACAGTTGTGAGCGAGTGATTTGGCTGCTGCATCAATTCGTTTGCTCTGAAGCCATCCCTTCCTGAGCTAAGACAAAAATGTGTGAGCCAGAGGCTAAAAAACTGTGAGCTAGCTCACACTAACTCAACTTAGAGGAAACACTGGTTCTGTCTCACAGTGGCAGCCAACCTTTTTTTGGGTGGGGGGGGGATAAAGTTTGTAATGCTATAGGAGGGGAAATTTGTAGGGGAGGGGGATGCTTAATTCTTCTCATGCCCTCTGATTCTACCTGCAGCCCCCCCCTCCCCGGCCCTTTTCTGGAGTCCTAATCAAATTCTAAAAGCGGAAGAGGCATGGCTGCAAAGAGGAATGTAAGGGAAACATTGCAGGGTGTCAGATTCTCTGGTTTGGTATAGCCAGGAGCCATTAGCAAGTTAGCAGAGTGCACAAGTTTTACCGTGCAGCAAAGCATCTCCAATCTGTGTGTGTGTGTGCTGATTAAAAAAGCAAAGTTACCCGGAGCCTCTTTTATACTTGCAAACTAATATGAGTTCCTTTATTTATAGAACTCCATTCTAGGCAGGATAGGGACAGGATAGTAGTCTAACCTAACTACCTAGGATGGATGAAGATGCAGGATGCATGTCCTGCATCCGTGATACCAAGATGGAGAGATAAAGTGTGTGCCTGTGAGAGAAGGTGTCATAATGGAAGGAAATCTTTTCCCCTAAGAATAACAATCTACTTCAAAGGGATAGTATCAGAGAGAGAAAGAAAGGATGGTCAGTGTCCTGAGCCTATCTATCTCTCTGACTCTGTTGTAGCCCCCTCTGAACACTGGGCTAAGAGACAGCATAGATCATACACACACACCCAACACAGGGGAGGGGGTGGACATTTGTCCGTGTTCTCACGTTTGTCCCTGGCAGCAGTAACTGGACAGAGGCCACCAGGTCCAGCAGTAGCAGTCTTTAATACACAGACCCACTCCAGTTACAGAGAGACTCATTCAGCTCAAACATGTAACAGCCTGCTTGACTTCTTCTCTGGCCTCCCTCCTGCCTCATGGCACGCCTTTCTAATCTGCCAGTTCCGCCCACGGAGATTGCCCCGTCTCCTGGGATACCCTTGCCTGATCCTCCCAGAGGGTGGAGCTCCTCTTTTCACCTGAGACTCCTTGCCAGCCTTGGTCTCCCTGGTTGGCTGACCGCTTCTTAGCTTTCCCCTGGCTCCAAAGCCTGGGTTAACCCTTTAGGTTCTTCTGCATTATAAACCTTTATTATCAGGTTCTTTTGTTAACACAGGCTCCCATCCCACTGGTGAGTTTCCCCGAGTGGTTTCCCTGCTGACCCCTTTCTCCCAGCTTGGCACTCCAGGCACCCCCTGCTACAAATGCAATCTCTACTGCCTTCTGGTTCTTGCTTAGGGCCTAGTGAAATGATACAGGTGACACGGGTTGGGTTGGGAATTACCTAGCCTGACTGACATTGGTACACAGGGAGACTTGCCTTACAAAGGGCTCTGCGCACAGCTTGGGAGCACTGTGAGGGGTGATAGGATAACCATCTTCAAGTACTCGGAGGGATGTCTTATAGAGGATGCTGCGGAGTTGTTTTCTGTTGCCCCAGAAGGTTGGACCAGAACCAGGAGGTTCAGGTTACATCAGAAGAGTTTTCGGCTAAACATTAGGAAGAGCTTCCTGACAGTGAGAGCGGTTCCTCAGTGGAACAGAACAGGCTTCCTCGGGAGGTGGTGGGCTCTCCTACTCTGGAGGTTTTCAAGCAGATGATAGATGGCCAGCTGACAGCAATGCTGATTGTGTGAATTGAGGCAGGTCATGAGAAGGGAGGGGCAGGCAGGGTTGCCTCAGTGCTTATTTCTTGTGGCCCTTTCTTACACGCCCAGGGAAATGCTGATCACCACTTTGGGGTCAGGAAGCCATTTTTCTCCAGGCCAGTTTGGCCAGGGATCCTGGAGGTTTTTTGTCCTCTTCTGGGTGTGGAACAGCAGTCACTGGGGGTGTGGAGGGGGGAGGTATTTGTGAGTTTCCTGCCTTGTGCAGGGGGTTGGACTAGATGACCCTGGAGGTCCCTTCCAACTGTGATTCTGTGAGGGGGATAAGAGAGGCATCAGGCTTCCCTCCCGTGCTGCTTTTGCCAGTGGAAACAGCAGGGGAGCCCTGCGTGCCCCTTTCTTGGCCTGCATGTGTCCTGAGTCACATGATCACAGGATCATGCTGGCCTCTGCATTCATGTAAACTGGTTGATACGTTTTTAGGAAACATATGTTTGGCAGTATAATGTGTTAAGTTCCCTGTGAAGTCATGTCACTAGCGCCTAAAGGTAAAGGTAAAGATTTCCCTTGCTCGAAAGCCAGTCGAATCCAACTCTAGGGTTGCGGTGCTCATCTCCGTTTCAAAGCCGAAGAGCCAGCGCTGTCCGAAGACGTTTCCGTGGTGATGTGGCCGGCATGACTAAACACCAAGGCGCACGGAACGCTGTTACCTTCCCACTGAAGTGGTACCTATTTATCTACTTGCAATTTCTTGCTTTCGAACTGCTAGGTTGGCAGGAGCACTAGCACCTACAACAATATATATATTGGAGCAGGCAAGCAAAACCAGAGTGCAGATTTCAATTTATGTCAGAACCAGGCCTTTCTGCATGTTCCCAGGCATGTCACCGGTCCCTTGCTGCCCGCACCACACCAGAGCCCATGGCATGGGCCCTCACACTCTGTGGTCTTCATTATAAACGCCACACTGTAATTGCTTGATACCTCCAGTACTGATAATTTTTCCCTAATGCCTTTAGAACGCCTTTTGTGGCTTCTCAGGGCTTCTCTGCTAGGGAGAGGTCTTCTCCGCGGAGGGAGCTGACATCCTTTTTCTCACAAGCAAAGCATCGCTTCAAGCAAGGATGTTCAGATTTAAGATAACCGAGACCAAAACATCCAAGTAAAGCTGGAGGCCAAGATCACTTACACACACTTTTCCCGAGTTTGCATACTGCTGGAAAGTGGGGGGGGGGGGGGGTTCCCGCGCGGCCGAGAGCCAATGGGACTCTCGGCCACTGTAAATAACCTATAGGGTCACTAGGGGGTGTGTTTTGGTGGTGGGTTTCTGAGCATATATACCGGCCTGCGTGCCGGGGTTTCTTGTCTTGTTCTTCACTTAATAAAGTACTCTTTGCTGAATCACTCCACGTTTCCGAGTACTTTTCAGTCTCGTTGCATCCGGCCATCTAGTTTGAACAAAAGAAGAAGGTGACTCTCATTGAGTCATCATCACACACAATGCATCCCACTCAGTGTTGTTTATACTTGACTGGCAGCTGCTTGCAAGAGCCTCGGGCCGAGGAAGGTCTTTCCTGCCACCTACTTGAGATCCATTAATTGAACAAGGCAGAGATTGAACCTGGGACCTTCTGCTTGCAAAGGAGGTACTCTGCCCTGACCGATGGTGTCGCGAGCCGCGGCTATAAAGGTTCTCTAATGGCTGCCACCATTCTGGTATGGGTCTCCCCGGGAGGCCCTGGAGCACCCGCCCTACCCCCTTATACACTCCTTTTCCAGCAAGTTTCCCCTACAAGTGACCGAATGAGGCGTGAGGACCCTATTTTTATTAAAGAGATTTAAGGACAACTATAATCCAATAACATGTAGGAAAAATGAGCACAGTGAAGGCAGATAAAACAGCAAAATAAGAAATCCTAACGTGTGTAGCCTCCTCTAGGTATTTGGCTTCAAGCTGACTCACCCCTTTTGGAGGAGGGATCCGTCCTTCTGCAGCAGACTCACCAGCCCCGCTCCCTGGGAGTGAACCCCCCTCCCACTTTGGGGCAAGGCCTTTCATTCCTTCTTCCCAGGCACCACCCTCTACTCCTCTGCCGGTGTAAGTTTTCCATCCAGATCCCCTTTCAGAATGCTGCAGCAAACTGCAGAACCTGTAGTACAGAGGGCATAGTGTGACACAAGTGTACACCACGGGTAATTCAAGAACCTTTCGTTCTGAAGAAACCGTACTGTTGGTCTCCAATCTTACTCAGGATAGTGGGGGGAATTTTCCCAAGAGATAATCACTTCTTTTGAGTGCAATTAAAAGCTCTTAAGTAGCCCTCTCACGTGTGATTGCCAGCAATCCAGTTTGTTGCTTTCATTTATGTGCAAGAAAAGCCAGTGGGGATGGAAGATCCCATGCGATAAACTTGTTCTTGCAGTTATCACCTGTGTGGAACCGCTTACATGGCTCCACTCTGCATTTCCTTTTTGTATTTTGGTTAGGTGCCCTGAGCCATTGGCAGAAGTGCAATGGGCATTTACCTGCGCGCATAATTGTGTACCGTGATGGGGTTGGAGATGGCCAGCTGAAGATGGTGGTGGACTATGAAGTCCCACAGCTGCTTAGTGTCATCAATGAATGCAGTCCGGATCAAAGGTAATAGATTCTCTGGTCTGTTGTCTGTTTTCCCAGGCAGATGGATCAGAAGGGTATCTGCTCCCAGTGTAGAGGCAATGCTAACATAAGAACATAAGAGAGGCCAATGTTGGATCAGGCCAATGGCCCATCTAGTCCAACACAGTGGCCAAAAACACCAGGTGCCATCAGGAGGTCCAGCAGTGGGGCCAGGACACTAGAAGCCCTCCCACTGTTGACCCCCCCAAGCACCAAGAAGACAGAGCATCACTTGCCCCAGCCTGAGAGTTCCTATCTGATACCTTGTGGCTAATAGCCACTGATGGACTTCTGCTCCATATGCTTATCTAATTCCCTCTTGAAGCTGTCCATGCTTGTAGCCGCCACCACGTCCTGTGGCAGTGAATTCCATGTGTTAATCACTCCTTGGGTGAAGAAGTATTTCCTTTTATCTGTTCTAACCTTACTGCTCAGCAATTTCATTAAGTGTCCACGAGTTTTTGTATTGTGAGAAAGGGAGAAAAATACTTCTTTCTCTACCTGCTCTATCCCATGTGTAAGTGCCAAGTGTCGTAACCATTGTTAAGATATTGGGAACACCCATAGGCGGACATTATCCTCCTTCCCTTTCTGCTGTTGTAGAAGAAGAGAAAGAGAAGAGATTGGATTTATACCCCACCCTTCACTATCCAAAGGAGTCTCAGAGTGTCTTACAATCTCCTTCCCCTTCCCCTCCCCACAACAGACACCCTGAGAGACCTCTTGACAGAAACTGCTCTTGAGAGAACAGCGGTGAGAGAACTCTGACTGACCCAAGGTCTGCTGCACGTGGAGGAGTAGGGAATCAAACCTGCTTCTCCCAGATTTGAGTTCGCCGCTGTTAACCACTACACCAAACTGGCTGTCAGTGTGGTGTAATGGTTAGAATGTTGGATTAGGATTGAGGGACAGGGACTCAAGTTATTGTCAGGTCCCCACTCAGTCTTAAATCTTATTTGGAGAACTTGTTGTAACTGACATTCTCTCCGTGTTACCTGAAGGGCTGTAACACAAAGGCGGTAAAAAGCTATGCACTGTGCTGTGTACTGTGGTACTGTGTATTTATTGAAGGACGGGTGGGATGAAAATATAGTAGATAGATAATGCTAAACATAGTTGGCTCCCCAAAAGGAAAAGAACATGTGCGCAAGTATGCTGGGGATTATTAGGAAGGGTATTGTAAACAGATCAGCCAATATTATAATGCCCCTATATAAATCAATGGTGCGACCTCATTTGGAATACTGTGTGCAGTTCTGGTCACCACACCTTAAAAAGGATATTATAGCTTTGGAAACAGTGCAGAAAAGGGCAACTCGGATGATAAAAGGGTTGGAACACTTTCCCTATGAGGAAAGGTTAAGGCGCTTAGGGCTCTTTAGCTTGGAGAAACGACGACTGAGGGGTGACATGATTGAGGTTTATAAGATTATGCATGGGAAAGAGCAGGTAGAGAAAGAGGTACTTTTCTCCCTTTCTCACAATACAAGAACTCGTGGGCACTCCATGAAACTGCTGAGTGGTCGGGTTAGAACGGATAAAAGGAAGTACTTCTTCACCCAAAGAGTGATTAACACTTGGAATTCACTGCCACAGGAAGTGGTGGCGGCTACAAGCATGGACGGCTTCAAAAGGGAATTAGATAAGCATATGGAGCAGAGGTCCATCAGTGGCTATTAGCCACAAGGTATAGATAGGGACTCTGGGGCAAGTGATGCTCTGTCATCTTGGTGCTTGGGGGGGTCAACAGTGGGAGGGCTTCTAATGTCCTGGCTCCACTGGTGGACCTCCTGATGGCACTGGTATTTCTGGCCACTGTGTGATACAGAGTGTTGGACGGGATGGGTCTTTGGCCTGATCCAACATTGGCGTCTCTTATGTGCTTAAGTAGGAGCAGTACCTATCCCCTAACCATGAGTAGAAGATTGGGCAGTGTTACGTCTGCTGAACTCCACCTTGTGATGATTTCACCCTGTTGTAGCCACCAGTCCGTGCACAAAATGATACAGAATGGTCATGCTTGTTGGGACTAAGAGCTGCTCTTGATCAGAAACAACCTTCAGTGGTGGTATGGGTGCTGGTCACATGATGAAGCCCGCAATTGCTTCCCTACTTTTTAAAAAACGTTCCTTTTCTCATATCAAAAGGCCCAAATTATCCGTGATCGTCGTCAGGAAGAGATGCCTTCTTCGCTTTTTTACTGAAGCCAACAGCAGCCTACAGAATCCTCCAATAGGGACAGTTATTGACACGGAAGCCACTCGACCTGAATGGCAAGTATACACTGGAGCAAGTGCAAAACCAACATGATTCCTTTTTCATAGAGTATAGTGTCAAGTACAAACAGGTCTATTAACTGAACTGATGCTTATTATAATGCCTGTATTTATTAATAGACTTTATCTCTGTTGCTAATATGAATACACCTTTTATAACCTTCCACTTCAGGTATGACTTCTTTTTGATTAGCCAAATTGCTCGCCAGGGTTCAGTGAACCCCACGCATTTCAATGTGATATATGATGACAATGGGTTAAAGCCGGAGCATATGCAACGTCTTACATACAAGATGTGCCACATGTACTACAACTGGACTGTAAGTAAAAAGAGTTGCGTGCAGTTGCCCTTATGTTAATGAACCATCTTTGCCCC